CTATTCTATAATTGAATGTTTCAATACAAAAAGCATTTGTATGTAACCTTTTATGTTTTTGTTGAGGTTTTTACTTGGTTCAAAAATCGAAACACTTTAAAAAAGCATACAGTAAAATGTCTCATTTGATCCTTTACCTCCAAACATATACTTAAAGGTGAACAGTTTCATTATTTAATGTTTCCAAGTCTGTATGCAAACATGAACAGATGTATTTTTACTTTAGCCTCGTTTTTCACTTAATTTATCTCCATAATTGTGCCATATTCTCTGTTATGCTGTGTGGTATTTGATGGTATTCCATAGTATGTCTTGTTTGACTAATCCTATATTAATGGACATTTGTGCTGCCTCTAATCTTTTGTTCTGACAGCTTCAGTGAAAAACCTGGTACACTATTTCCTAGGTATTCAAATGTATCTGAAACACAATGTACTGCTGCTAAATCAGAGTGTACAATTGGACTAATTGTGTCCTGCATCAAGGTTGTTAGAGTTGGTACTGCCATAGCACAGTATCCTGTTTGCTCACAGCCTTGCCAGAACAGGGTGTTATTAAACTGGGGGATTTTCATCTTGAGAGATGAAAAAAAATATGGTTTAATTTGCATCAAAACCATGTAAAACAATAGGCATTGAGAAATCATGTCCTACCCAGTTCTCATCTGCTCTCTTTTGTCCCACATAGATATGTTTGTTAGTTTCTTGCTTCCCCTTTCCATTTTCTTTAATCAGATATACAGTTTTATTTTATTCTTTTTCTTACACAAAGATAACTAAAACTCACTGCCATTGAGTTGATTCAACCCTCCTTGGGTCCGTAGCGGTATCTCTACGCAAGTAAATTGCCCAGCTTTCCTTCCGAGGAGTGGCTGGTGGGTATGAACTGCCAGCCTTCTGGTTAGCAGTCAAATGCCTTAGGCACTTTGCCACCAGAGTGAAATCCTCTTACGTGCTTTGTCTTTTTATAAAAAATTTAACCATATATGCTATCTTTTGGAAATTTCCCCTCCCTTTTATAAAACTGAAAACCCAAACTCACTTCCATCGAGTTGATTCCAACTCATAGCAACTCCCATAGGTTTTCCAAGGCTGCGTATCTTTACAGAAGTAGACTGCCCCATCTTCCTTCCATTGAGGCTGGTGGGTTGGAACCCTGACTTGGTTAGCAGCCAAATAAATGCCCTATTCCCTACAGCACCCGAGCTGCTTCCTCCCTTCTAAAGTAGTAGAGTATTATATCGTTCAGCAGATCCCTTGTTGCTAGAACCTTGTTCCTAGTCTTTTGCTATTTCAGTGCCACAATGAGTATCTTACATGGACATCATTGTGTGCATGTGCATTTCTGTTGGTTAAAGTCAGAAGGTAAATCCATTTGTAATTTTGGAAGACTGCCAGATTTCATCATAGATGGTTTATCATTTTGAGGTCATTCTAGGAATATCTGAGCCTCTGCCCTTGGTCTTGCCAACAGTCTGCTTTCTCATTTCTCAAGTTTTGCCAACATGACAAGTGAAAAATGAGCCTCTTTTCATGTCCATTCATTCTTTCACCATTCATGTCCTTAGCCAGTTTTTTTCAATGGGATTGCTGTCTTGTTATTTGTCCTGGGGTTTCATTTGTCTTCACTTATGAGGGGGTTTTTGTATTTTATAATTAAATCTTTGCTCAATTTGGAATTTTTCCAGCAGGGAATGCAGCTCTCTACTTCATTATTTAACTCTTGGTCATTCCTCAGCACAGCAGTTTGCCTCTGCCTACCAGCTCACAGAACCTCAGTTTATTTGTAACTGGGAAGAGGTGGGCTGGTGGTTCTGGTGAGGCTGAATGGGTGGGGCCTAGGAATCTGCACTTCCACACACCTCCAGGCAATCCAGTGCACACCCCAACGTGAGAACCACTAGTTTCCTTTAGAAATGTGCTAAAAGATAAAAATATAGTGAAAAAGCCCTTTTATATGATGTAAAATAGCATTATTCCTGTTTCCATAATTAAACATGGTTCAGGTGCACTAAAAATTGTACCACATTTCGTGATTCAACTCATATCATACAACTCTTCAGAATAGGTGGCACATTACTAATCTGAAATCAAGTTGTTAGTGCTCAAATGGAGCCTCTGCACACAAGGCTGAGAGACTTAAGAAAAAGAACTAACACCTGCTGTGGACCAGGCACTTAGAGTAGCATTTCCTTCTCATGGGACCTGCCAGACTTAAGCTTACCTAATAGAGGCCACCAGGATTGAAATGCCAGCCTCTGAATTAATTCCCTTTTCTCTCTACCACTCTCACTCATCACATAATTATGAATACTTACGTTATACTGTTTTTATAATCTGATAGAAAACTCAACATGCCAGTGTACTTCTGGCAGACTTAATCCTTACTGCTCTATATCAGTGGTTCTTAAAGTATGTGGACTAAATCAACGAAGTGCAAATTCTCAGGCCCCACTGAATCAGAAACTGGGGGCAGAGCCCAGCAAGTTTAATAAGCTCTGTGGGGGAATGTGATACACACCCAAGCTTGAGAACCACTCCCCAATGACTGTTTTTTCTAACATTAGGCTATGTGAATACTCACAAAAGCTTTATTTTCTGAAGTTGGCATTGTATTTGAATGTCTAATATGTAGGCCTTGTTGGTGCCTCCTCCCAGAAAGTTACTCATTCTAGGGCGTGTGCTTTCTCAAACCATATCCCCCACCAGATTCTGATTCAGCCGGATCTAGATGTTAACTCACCTTCCTAAGTACAGTGAAACCACTGGGAGCTGGAACTCAACAGGACTGCCTTGTTTTTTGGACTCTTGCAAGTTTTCTACTGCTGACAAAGTGCAGTCTTAACACTTCACCATTGCTTTCTGTTGAAAATACTACTTCATAAACACCCAGTGAGTTTTCCTTCTTTCCTTCCACCTTACAAAGGTTCCACCTTTTGCAGATTTTACCATGTAATGTAATCATTTTGCTGTTTTCTAAAAGCTCCCTGTACCCTTCAACCGAGAGAGGCATGATTCCAATAACAAGTTATTTATGTCTATTCCTAGGGGAGGAACGATCAGTTTCTTCAGTTTTCTGGCTAGGATGGGGGAAAAAAACCTGTTTACATACACTTCAGCTTAAACCAATCACACTGAATTGCCTTTACTATTTACAAAGCATTAAAAATACTGTATTGTTTTATAAACTAATGCTGAAATGGGATGTTAGACTAAAGTAAGTAAATATTTAGCATGAAAACCAGACTTCTAACAGTTGTACTTTTAAAGCACAGATGTGAGTTAAAATCCTGATTTAATAACATGGAAAAGCATTGCTGCTATTCTCAGGAAACACCCAGTCTGCCTGTCCTCGTAAGTTGTGTTTGTGATTTGCCAAGTGCTTTCACAAAGTTCATTTCCTGAAGATGGTGAGGTTTCAAGAAACACTGTTAATACCAAACCTAAGGCTGAGTCATATTTCATTAAGAACCACTTTATACAAATAAGTTTATTACATGTATAAGGAGTCACCATTTATTCAGATTATTTAGCAATTCATTGGCCACTTCACCCTCAAACTCAGTGTATGATCCTCAGAGAGTTACTTAATATCTTTGAGCCTATTTATTCATCATAAAAAAAGAATCATCAGTTGTTCCCTTTATCACTTAATTTGTGTAGGTGTCACAAGCTTCTGTTTTAGTTGTATGGTTCATGAATTTTTAAAAATATGGCAGTGCACCAGTTTTTTCAAAAGCAGGAGGAAGAGCCTGCTCAGTACATTTGGCTGTGTGTCAGACAATCAGTAGTTTCTGGAATCTAAGTTGGGGTGATACTTTACCATTCCAAAAGCATTTTAATAATGAACTGTTTCTTTTCCCAAAGCTTATATGCAAATCAGTGAGAAACTGAGTATTGAGCAAGACTATTCATTGTGACTGGTCTAAGCTGAATAGCTTATAGGTTTTTTTTCCAGCCTCAATATTGGGGGAGGTGGTCATTGCCACTGTAATTTTAGATGTCTGAAGGCACACATTGCTCTTTCGCCACTGTTACAAGATTGGAACTTGTATTTATCTTAAAATCACTAGGGTTGGTTTCCTTTAATTTTGTTAAAAGAATGAATCTGAAGGTAATTCCTTTTGTGAATACATTATTTCTCTGTAAAGAAGATACTTTGGAAGTGTTTCAGTACAATGAGGAATTATTCATGATTTCAACAACTCAAAAATACAACAGAATTCATTAAAAAAAAGAACTTTAATGTAAGGCACTGTTGTCCAAAAGTTAATGAAGAATAAAAGTCCATACAATACCACCTCACTCTAACACTCTCACATGTCATCTGCCCTACCACAGACACAAGGGTAATAACCAGTCCCACTCAGCAAGCCATTTTAAATGGTGTTCCTCAGTGGCAATAGTACCTCTCAAAGCACTAACTGGTGTTTTTCCTTTTCAAAAAACTGACTGTTTTATACTTATAATGGAACCAGTGAATGTCTTGAGAGGTAAAAACAAACCCAGAAAACCATACTAGCTATTTCAGCCTAGAAAAAGGTTTCTAAGAGTTCTCGTGTTTTAAGAGTCCCAAGGAATACATTTACTCTGTTGTCTAGTAAGTCCCTACAATGATAAGGGATAAAGTTATAAGTATGTCCTTGGTTGAAATGGTGCCTAATGAGAAAAGCTACATGCACAAATGGGTTCAAAACTCAAACCTGCGTGTGCCACTTGAGGATTCAAAACACCCAAATGATTTAACCTCAAGGACAGTATCACAAGTTCTTAATAATGTCTTCATTGACTCATTAGATACATTAACATGGGAACCTCAGGAAAACTGGATTCGTGAATTATTAGAAGCCAGGGACTTTGCTCCACCATGCTCATCTGCTGTTTTACCGTAATGGTTTTTGGGATAACCGTTCCTCCTGTGGACAAGACACCTAAAAGACACGTTTTTCCAAAATTTCATCTAAAGGAAAAAGTTACCCAGGAAGGTAAAACTTGCCTTTAAAAGTGTTGTTTATACACACTAGACCAAGCAATCCACTCAAGGTTATAACAGTTTTAAAAATTAAATCACAGTACAGCTGAACAATGAATGGGGTGGTTCTGATGAGGTATTACTTTGACATTTTGGTCTCAGAAGGTGTTTCCCCAGTATCCAGTGTCTTCAACAACCGGAAAAGACCAGCAGCTTCTCGTATCCTGCTGAATTCAATACAGAATGCCTGCACCTCGATAAACAAGTCCTGCACATTGATTATTTTGTTACGGATCAAGGACTGGAGAAAAACACAAACTAGACGCACCAAACGATTCTATAAGAAAAACAAATATTTTTTAGTGTGCTTATTTTGCTGGCATGCATTTATAAAATTTACAGAAATGTCTATTAAATACTCACCTGCATATATTTATCCTTAATTTGCTCACAAGTAGAGATGCAATTTGATATGTAAAGGTGGATAAATTCAGGAGGTAGATCAACAGCTGTAGTTAGTCTGTTTCATTAAAAAGTTAGAAAATTAAAGCTGTTTTCTAACATTTAAAAAATGAATCAACTTTCTTTGGTCATGTGATAAATGCCCTAGTTACCTAGTTTTAAGTATACGCTGGCAAGTCAACCTAAGAGCCACAGCCATTCATTCATAAATAACATTTCTGTTTTTTAAGTCTATACTTAGTATTACACATCACAGTCATTCAACAATTACTTGTTTAGGCACTGTGTCCCTGAGTGCTTTTGATGTCTTAACGTCCAAGCTCTAATGATACTGGCAATTATATATTAATTTAAGTAACATTTATTAACTGAGTGCAATGAAGGCACTATTGTGTGTCTGTGAGGAAGGTGTAAGTTTAGTAACTAAGAAGTACGATATATAATTGAACACAAAAATGAGTTTGCAAAAAGTAATGTAGGTGAGAAGTCTTAAAAGGGCAAGGGACAAACTGAAACCTAAGAAGTGTTCCTTATTAAGAAATGCTAAGTAAAAGTTTGGAATCGGACTAGCTGGGCATATCCAGGAAAACAGGGAAAGACTCAGCTAGAATATAACAAAAGGTATGACGGCATACCAGAGTGTCAGATTTTAGAGTCTTGGAAGACCAAAGCCAGTGTGGCAGTTAATGTGTGTCAACTTGGCTGGGTATGGATTTGAGTGACTGGGCAGCTGAATGTACTCATTCCACGTGATGAGACTGGTAATCGGCTCCACAGTGGATTCTACTCTAAGCAGATGAGTAACTGCCTTAGGGATATGGTCAAAGACACTTTGAGAAAAGTCTTGAGCTTTTTGGCACATCTGGATCCTGCATTTGGCCAAGTCTTCCATCTCAGTGGCCTACCACGTTGTCTGCTGATCTTCAGACAGTTTCTAGACTTGAACTAGTGGCCTGCCAAGGTTGCTTGATAATTTTGAGACTGTGCCATTTTACTTGTCAGCCTTGGGTTTGTCAGCCTCAGCAGCCAGCAGCTGCCTGAGTGAAAAGAAGCCTCCAGTTCCAGTGGACCAGGAGCAAGAGGCAGAGTTGAAGGCCAAGGTCAAGGAGCTTTCACCCAGCCCTTAGAGCTGGCACTTTGAACACAGACTTCTAGCCTCCTAAACTGTAAGAGAATAAATCCCTGTTTGTTAAAGCCATGCATTTTGTAATATGTCTGTTACAGCAGCGTTACGTAACCAAAATAGCCAGTATTTCCCAAAGGATTCCGTGAAAAGTTTTAAGCAAAAAAAGAAAAAGCAAAAATGAGGTGGGGTGGGTACTTTGTGTTCCCCTAAGTCTGAGAAACACTGGGTTACATTAAACAAGATTCCTTTACTGCAAAGCCTTTGCTATGCTAACATTTGTATGAATTTCCAAAAAAAAAAACACCAAACTCTCTGCTATAGACTCATTCTGACTCATAGTGCCCCCCATTGGGTTTCCAAGGTGGTAAATCCTTCCAGAAGTAGACTGTCCCATCTTCCTTCTGCAGAGTGGCTGGTGGGTCTGAGCTGCCAACCTTCTGGTGAGCAGTCAAATGCCTTAGCCACTGCACCACCAGAGGTCCTGAATTTCCAAAAAAAGATTCATATATTCTACACTTTCTAAATTTACTTGACCATGGTAGTTTCTCTATGAAACAGGAAGTAGTACTCCAAGGTACACTGCCACTGGAAGTCACTTGTGTGTGTTAACAACAAAAGATTAACACTTTTGGTTAATGCCCTATGATAGGTATTGGGGCAATAAAAAGTAACAGGACCTTGTCCTTGAAATTTAAAGATAACTAGGGAGGAACTTAGGCGCTCTGGTAGCGTAGTGCCTAAGGCACTTGACTGCTAACCAGAAGGCTGGCAGTTCAAACCCACCAGCCACTCCTCAGAAGGAAGATGGGGCAATCTACTTCCGTAGTGATACTGCCTTAGAAACCCAAGGAGGGGACACTATGAGTCGGGTCCGACTCAACGGCACATAACAAAAACAACAGGGAGGAACTCTGGTGGCATAGTGTCTAAGGCATGTGACTGCTAACTAGAAGGCTGGAAGTTCAAACCCACCACCCACTCCACACAAGAAAAATGAGTTAATCTACTTCTGGGAAGATTTACCACCTTGGAAACCCAATGGTGGTCACTTTAAATAGGAATCGACTTGATGGCAGCTGAGTTTGTTTTTTGTTTGTTTAGGGAGACAATAATACTGATAAAATGATAGTTACTCTGGGACTAAGTTTCAAATGTCTGATAAGGACAATAAATGCTACAAGAACTTTATGAAACAGAAAGTGTGAGCATTCACAGTTTAATCAGTCCAAAGGACTTGAACAGAATGTGGCCCTGAAGGAATGAGTCTTAAATTGAAGGGGAAAGGCTTGAACAAGGAGAAGGCAGAAATAAAACAGCATGTTTTTAATAAGTAGCTAACTAATTTTACCAGTAAAAGATAATAAAAAATATGTTGAAAATTTCGTGTTTCCTGCCTCTTCCACCCCAAAAGAATGCAACCTCTATCTCTAAACATACTTTCCAGCACTAAGATTCCAGGCAGGTATTTTTGAAAATGCTTACTTATTTCACTAGCTGATTGAGTTCAATGGGTATCTTCTTTAGTACCAATTAAAGCAAAAGAATGAACATGGGCCCATACCTCACACCATATATTAATAACTAATTCCAAGTGGATCAAAAACCTAAATATAAGAACTGAAACCATAAAACTCTTAAAACTTCAGGTAATGCTTCAGGACCTAGTTTTTAACGATGGATTCACAGTTACGACACTGAAAGAATGAGCAACAAAAGTAAAACAGATAAATGGAGCCTCATCAAAACTGATAACCTTTGTTTATCCAAGGAATTTTACAAAAAAAAAGTGAAGAGACAACCTATACACCGGGAGAAAAATTTTGGAAACCATATAGTGGATAAAAACCAAACCCTGCCAGTGAGTCCATTCCAGCTCATAGTGAGCCTATAGGACAGAAAAGAATGGCCCCACAGGATTTCCAAGGCTATAAATCTTTGCAAAAGCAGACTGTCACATCTTTCTCCCACAGAGGAGATGATGGGTTTAAACTGCTGACCTTTTGGTTGCCAGCCAAGTGCTTAACCACTGTGGCACGAGTGATCCTTATATAATGGATAAGAGTTCAGAATATATAAAGTCTCTTGAAACTTAAAAAGATAAAATCAGTGCCTTAGTTATCTAATGTGCTATAACAGAAACACTATAAGTGGATAGCTTTAACAAACAAATATATTCTCTCACGGAAGACTAGAAGTCCAAATTCAGGGCAGGAGCTCTAGGGAAAGGATTTCTCTCTCTCTTTGCTCTGGAGGAAAGTTCTTGTCTCCTTTTAACATCTGTAGGCTCACCCACCACTCCCTGAAGATCTCCATGTGTCTCGATTCTTCCCTTGCATACAGGAGTTTCTGAATGCAGAGGACCCAGGTCCAAATGACACTTTCCACTCCTGGCTCTTCTTTCTTGGTGGTAACCAGGACCTTCCCTCTCTGCTCACTTCTCTCACCTTTTATCTCCTAAGATAAAAGGTAATGCAAGCCACACCTGAAGGAAACTCCTCTTACATCAGATCAAGTCTGTAACCTGAGTAAGTGTCCTGTATCCCACCCTAATCCCCTTACAACTTACTGGCTGATCCCATCAGATCACATCATGGGGGATAATTATCATTACATAACTACCAAACCACTGAGAATCATGGTCCAGCCAAAATGACATATTTTAGGGGGACATAATTCAATCCAGGGAGCTCTGGTAGCATAGTGGCTAAGACACTTGCCTGCTAACCAGACGGCTGGCGGTTCAAACCCACCAGCCACTCCTCGGAAGGAAGGTTGGGCAATCCTACTTCCGTAGTGATACTGCCTCAGAAACCCAAGGAGGGGTCGCTATGAGTCGGGGCCGACTCGACAGCACATAACAACAACAACAATTCAATCCATGACATTCTATGCTTCAGCCCCCAAAATGTCATGTTTTTGCCACATACAAAATGCTTTCACCTCATCATTTCATCCCAAAAGTCTTAAATCAACTCCAAGTCCAAATTCCATCCTGGGGCAAAACCCTCTTCATCTATGAATCTTGAATGCAAATTATCTACTTCCAAAGAACAATAGTGGAACAGGCACAAGGCAGACATTGCCATTACAAATAGGAGAAACTAGAGGGAAAGAAGAGATAACAGCACCATGCAAGTCAAAAATTCAGCAGAATAATTTACATTAGCTCTCAAGGCTTGAAAATAATCCTCTCTTCAAAGCCCATCTAAGCAGTGGCCCTGCCCTGCCATTCAGACTCTGGGTGCTGGCCATGTTCTCTGTATTCTCAATGGAGGTTCCTTGGTTGTGTTCTTCAGCTCCATCTTCCAGACCACTGGGACAGCAAGTCTGCTCCCTTCAGCTTTGGATGGCCCCATTCTCTTAATACAATTGAGTGGTGACCCCCACCTCCTTGGCCCCAGCAGGTGCCTTCTGCCCCTTGGGCATGACAACCCCACTCTCAACTTTGGGCAGCAGCTCTAGCCCAAACTCCTGGTACCTGTGAATGGCACCCCCACACTCAGAACCAAGTTGTTGAAGATCTAACTGTGAAATCTAGGAGGCCATGGTTCTACCTGGGAGACTCCAGGGGTCTGGCCCTACCCTTTGACACAGAGGCAGCTGTGCTTCCCATGTGCCTTGTCTCTTCATCTTCCGCTTCCTTGTTCTTTGGCCTCTTGGTCCTTTTATGCTGGCCCAGTCTCTGCCCTACTCAGGCAAGTGTTACAAAGTTCTTTAGCTCTATCAATAAGTGCCTGGAAATACTCTGCCAGGAAGCCTCAATCCAAGATGTTCCACTCTCACTCTGTGGGTTGGCAATCCTAGTTCTGTTGACAAGTGCCTGGAGGCACCCCACTCCACCAGGAAGACACCTGCCCAAAAGCACTCAGCTCTAGCTGTATGAGTCGGCTCCTGCACCATCCTGCATTAGTCTACCAATTCTCTGCCACTGCTTCTTGCCATCTGTGCCATCTCCAATGTTATAGCTCTCTTCACTTCCTTCTGAGTGCTCACCAAAATTGCCTTTGATGTCCGTAATTCCACCAAAACTCTCTTCAAAAGTAATCTAGGGTTCTATCATTAGGCACCTTAACACTTTTCCAGCCTCTACTCATTACCCAATTCCAAAATCACTTCCACATTTTTGGTATCTGTTAGAGCAGCACTCCCCTCCTGGTACCAAATTCTTAGTTATCTAGTGCTGCTATGAGAAAAATAAGTGCATGGCTTTAAAAGACAGAAATTTATTCTCTCAGTTTAGAAGGCTAGAAGTCTGAATTCAGAGTGCCAGTTCTAGGGGAAAGCTTTCTCTGTCAGCTTGGAGAGAAGGCCCTTGTTTCCTTTCAGTATCTGTGGGCCCAGCATCCCTTGGAGATCTCCATGTGTCTTGGCATCAGTCCTCTCCTGGGTCTGGACTCTTCTCAGCAAGGGAACCTCAGGTCCAAAGGACATGCTCCACTCCTAGCACTTCTTACTTGGTGGTAATGAGGTCCTTCCCTCTCTGCTTGCTTCTCTCACTTTTTATCTCTTGAGATATAATGATTTAGCCCATACCCCAAGAAGACTCCCCATATATTGGATCAAGGATGTGACCTGAGTAAGGGCACTGGATCCCACACTAATCCCCTTACAACTGATTGGTTGATCACGTCATGGGGGATGATTACATCATTACATAACTGCAAATTACAACACTGCACAACTGCCAAACCACATCTAATCATAGCCAAAGGTGACACACATTTTGAGGGGACACAATTCAATCCAGAACAACAAGCAAAGGACTTAACGACAGCTCCTCAAACAGGACATTCAAATGCTCAATAAGCACATGCAAAGATCTCAACATTATTAATCCCTATTGTTACTGTGTGCCACTGAGTCAATTCCAACTCATAGTAAACATATATGATAGAGCAGAACTGCCCCCTAGGGTTTCCAAGGCTATAATCTTTATGGGAGCAGATAGCCAGGTCTCTTCTGTAGAGCTACTAGTGGGTTTCAACAATCTTTCAGTTAGCAGCTGAGTATTTAACTACTGCACCACCAGGGCTCTTAACCATACTGGGCTAGCACTTCACACCCATCAGGATGGCTACGATCCAGAAAATAACAGGTGGTACTGAGGTTGTGGAGAAATAAGAATGCTTGTCCATTGCTGGTGGGATTATAAAATGGTACAGCTGCTATGAAAGTTTGGCAGTTCCTCAGAAGTTGAACACAGAATTACCATATGACCTAGCAATTCCATTCCTAGGTTGATATCCAAAAGACTTGAAGACAGGAACTCAATATAGACACTTGTACACCAATAGTCATTGAAGCAGTTTTCACAATAGCCAAAAGGCAAACAGTCTAAATGTCTATCAACAATCAATGGATAAACAAAATGTGAAACATGAATACAATGGAATATTACTTAGCCATAAAAAATTGAAGGTCTGATAAATGCTATAATATGGATGAACCTTGAAAACATGCTGAACTTACCAAGTCAGATCAAAGACTATTAGTGGTGATCAGGAATGAGAGAAAGGGAAGGGGAAAGGACTCAATGCTTAGGGAACACTGGGCTTCTGTTAAAACCAAAAACCAAACTCACTGCCATCAAGTCAATTCCAACTCATGGTGACCCCATTTGGGTTTCCAAGGCAGTAAATCTTCATGGAAGAAGATTGCCCAGTCATCCTTCCACAGAGTGGCTGGTAGGTTTGAACTGTCAGCCTTCTATAGTTAGCAGTCAGATGCCTTAGGCACTGCACCACCAACAGCTTCTGTTAAGGGTGATGGAAAACTTAGGAATGGATAAGAGTGACAGTTCAATATGATGAACATGATTTGTATGAAGATTGCTGAAATGGCAAAATTTTTGTTCCACAAATATTTACTACAATTTTAAAAAAGTGCTTTAGTTGAAGTTTAGCTGACTGACACTCAGAATGGATCTGTCTATAGAGCAGAGGAACCATATCATTTATCATTCAAAACCAGAACACCAAAAGTAAGAAAGCCCAGGATAACAAACTTAAATCAGTACTGTTTCAGGCAAACCTTGGGCCTATGGCCACACTATATGTAAACAATAAAACAGGCTCCCAAGCTAATCTTCACATGCCTATTAAATCCATAATTCACCTAAACTGTATTTGTAAGGAAAATAATACAAATGTGAGTTGCAAATATACCATGAAAACACTGTACAGAGCATAAGAAGGGAATGGAGTGCGTTTCTCCAGCAGCCAATGACAGCAGACTGAGAGTCAAGGCTGGGAGAAGGCAGCAAGGAATTTCTATGATACTCCTAGAATTCTCTCAAATCTAAAGATTCATACTTTTCCATGCTATAATCATTTGATACTAAGAATGTAATAACTGTGTCGTATAGGAATAAAGAAGATAACGACATATAGGAAATAAATTTTAGCTATTAAATTTCATTTAAGTTTCTGTTAATGCTAAATGTTTCAAAGACTACCTTCTCCAAGTGCTTTCTAATGAATGCTAAACTCACATGCATTGAACACTAAAAGGCTCTGATTATTTCTTTAATGGGCTATCTCAGGCTACCAAAGAGTATCAGGAAAAAACAACTTGCTAGTTTTTCCTCCTGACCATTTACTCAGACTCTATATATCCACATACATTGATCAACTCTAGGAAACTGACACAAGGAAACTTACCGATTTACAACTTCCATTGAATGTAATGACATGTCCATGTTGACCAGGACTGAAAAATACTCAGTTATCTGGCTTGACTGCATTAATTTCAGCAACATTTCTATAGCAACTAGAGGGTTGTTTTCCACCAGATCAGGAAGTTTGGCTGGAGTAAGGCCAATATGATAAACAAGCTTGGGATCTTTTTCCAACTCACCAAGGAGCTAAATAACAATGTAAAAGAGAGAAAGGTTCCTGAATCAAATTAAAATTCTGTCATCTCTTTATGCAAAAAACAAGTATTTTAAACACAAAGTTATAAAATGATCTGTATTAAACCAACTTCATAAACTCCCTCAAACCCATAATCACCATGTCTTAATACCTTTATATCTGAATTGTAAAAATACTAAAATGGAAACACCTCAAGGCAATTTATGAACATGCTAGTGATTTCTCTTCCTGGACATTAAACCAGACTCAATATTGTAATAATATTGTAACAATATTGTCCATAAGTCTTTCGTAGATGCCCACCCACCCACTCACGGTCATCTGTTATAACCAAACAATCTTAATCACCAACTAGTTCCCCTGAGCAGCACACCCCACAGAGAACTGAGGAGCATGTAAAACAACAGCCCAGCTCTGGCAGAGAACAGAGTAGATGCAAAAGGCAGGAAAGCCACCTCTACTCAGCTCATCAGTCTGCAGTGTTCTACGGCTCAGGTCAGGAACACTCTAATTCAAACAAGTATTCTCCAGAACATTTTTCCTGCCAAATAAATACTTTTTATTTTAAATGTTCTTATTCCTATCTCTTTGCACTTATCACAGTGGGCTGTGTTTCAGGATGGTCTAGTAAAGCAGAGTGAATGGAACTGCAAAGTTAATTAGTTGTTTTTGAAAATAACACGTATACCTATATTCACTGCCATCAAGCTGATTTGACTCACAGCAACCCCTCCTTGGGTTTCCGAGCTGGTATCTCTACAGAAGTAGACTGCCCAATCTTTCTTGCTAGGAGTGGCAGGTGGGTTAATGGTCAACTAACTGGGTTGGAGCTGTGTCTTCCTTCCACAAGAATGCCCCAGCCTTTCCCCAAGAGTGAGCCATCCCATCTCACATTTAAGCCATAAGGACTATGTTTAATCTCAAACCTACCACCAAGCAGCTAAGTCACTTGGAAGCTAGTTTACTTCTCTGTAATTCATTTTCCTTTCCTACCAAATGTCAGTCTACTTACTCTCAGAGAGTTGCTGTCCAGCTTAAATGTAACAATGTCTGCAAAGTACCTAGCATAGAGAGCAGGATCAATCAGGCTCACCAAAAAAGTGACATCAGCCTATTCCACCTCTCCCAAAGTCAACTTGATCACAAAGAAAATTTGAAGGCATTTCAGTCATCAGATTCCTTGCTTCACCAGAGGAAAATTACCAAAAGGGCTTCAATGGGGGAACAAAGCTTGAGAGATCCAAAAGGCCTTTGAAACTTCCTACCTGCCAGCTTCATACTGACAGTATTATTTTATCATTTATTATTATCATTTATCATTTCATGAAAAGTAAGAATAAGCCCTTCATGTGCTAAAGAAGAGAAAATGTTTGCAATAAATACATACCTGTGTTTGTTGAGGAGAAGACAAAGGGCTTTTGAAAGCTTTGGCCATTATTCGTTTGATCTCTACACCAGTGCTATTCTTAACACACATTGATTTATCCCATTGAATTGCATGGTCAGGCTCTGTTGGATTTAGCCAAGCCAACTCATCCTCACAAATGTGGAGTGGAGGTGGTGGACGAATAAACTCTGGTCGAAAATGGCCTGTAACAATAGTAGAATTTGACAGCTTTTATCAGTAAGCTAACATCTGTACATGTATACATCTCACACATATTTCACTGAGTGAAATATACTAATGCTTCTTTTAATAAGGATAATATGATAAAGCTTTCAACCTTCAAAGTAGAAATGACATAGAAAGCCAGGATTTCACTCAGAATACAAACAAGAAAATTAAACACTGATAAAACATCATTACACCAGAGACAAAATCTATTAATTTTTGGAGAGAGGAAAGAAAAGTATCACCATGATCTGACAATTTTTAATTCAAGGATGACCACCACTTAACAGCAGAAGGGCACAACTACTAAACTGGTCAAAGTCTTTTCATGGGAAAAATGAAATAGAGCTATAATTGTCTTCATTAATCCTATTCTTAGTTACACCATTCTGCTTAAAGACTGCTATGACTTGTTAGTATCAAATCTCTGTATCTTTTAACTTTCAAGTAGCAAATGAAATGGCAGAAGAGAAAAGTATAAGTAATTTTTGACATTCTCAGATATATCTGGAGACTTTCATGAACCCCCGGATTCACAAATACCACATTCATTTTCACACAACAAAGTACAACAAGAAAATTAAGTGACTCAAGACTTCTTAACAATTTTATAAAACAAGACTGGTCCCCAAGTGATAAACCTACTAGAATAAATGCTGGCTGGGACCAATTTTACATGTCATTTTGGTTTCCACATGGGGCAAAAAATTTATTCCAATCATGATCTGAGCCCCTGCCAAACTTGAGGTTATACTTTTTAATTTATTGAAAACTTCTATTTTCTGGCCAAGAATCACATTCTTACACATTCTTACTGTCTCTTCACTTCCATCACCAGTTTGTGTCCAAGTCTCTTTTCACACCATTTACAAAAGAAACAAAGTGTTTTAACATATCATGAGAAGTACTGTTTAGGTAATAGAGTTCTTCTGAGACAGGCACGGCTGGACTCATTATCTGAGTGATTTGCTTTTCACATACTTTCCTCATGGCCCATGCATTTCAGAGTCAAATATTTAAAATATAAATATTAAATGGAAATCATTACATTTCACAGACCTTCAGCGACACCTGTGATGATATGTAACTGGAAATATTAAATCCATTTATGCCAAAGATCTACTTTAAACCAAATAGTATAAAAAGTTATAGTATGAATTTCAAACTCATGGTGACACTATAATCTAGAAAATAAATTCCTATACCTAAGCAGAAAGTATACCTTCATCATTAAAACCACACAAAAACCTATAACACCAAGTGATGCAGCTGTACTACTATAAACTCAGTATTTTCTTTGAATTAAAGTAAATCAAGAGTAATAAGATCAGTAAAACTTTAAAATAGAAAAGGTAATGACAGTGATATGATTACTAAAGAGATATAAAACAAGAATGTCATAAACTATAAAAATGGCCATTTTAGTAAAATCAGAGAATTTATATCTTCAGGTATACTGACAAGAAGAATGGTATTTAATCAAAAACTTGATGTGTACATTTTTTTTAAGATGATAACTAGCTTATACTGAGCACCTCTACTATGTTCTAGACACAATACTAGAAAAGTTTTCATAAAATTCAAGGTAAGTAGCAAAGAAAATGGGAACTCTGGTAGCATAGTGCCTAAGAACTTGACTCCTAATCAGAAGGCTGGCAGTTCAAACCCACCAGCCACTCCTCGGAAGGAAGGTTGGGCAATCTATTTCTGTAGTGATACTGCCTCGGAACCCAGGGAGGGGTGACTATGAGTCGGGTCCGACTTGACGGCACATAACAACAACAACAGCAAAGAAAATAACATATCATCTCAGAAAACAAAGTAATAAGGAATGCTGATAAAATAAAAACAAAGGTAAAAAATTGCATATACCTACTTTCAATAGGTGGTTTTGGTCCACTGACTAAAGCTTCTGTGATCTGAGAAGCAACTGAGCTGTCAAATCCAGAATTGGAAGAATCCGGGTCTGGGTCACTGAGAATACTAGGGAAGCTAGCCTTACTCTGGGTTGGCAATTCTGACTGGCGCTCTGAAAAAGGTTAAAATATGAGACATTTTAAAATTGAGGACAATATGAGAAGAATGAAAAGACAGCCATTAAATGGGGGAACATTTGTAACACAAAACCAAAGACTCAGATTCAGTATAGATCGAGATATAAACTCCTACAAATCAACTTTTTAATAAAAGGACAAAGAACCCAATAGGAAAAAAAATGGGCAAATGACTTCAATGGACACTTTACAGAAAGTGTGAACATCTTAAAAGATGTTTAATCCATTAGAAATCAGCTAAAACACAAGATACTATTATATACCCTCCAGATTGGCAAAAATGAACAAACCTGATAATCAAATGCAGAGAAGAATGTAAAATAACAGGAACTCACATACTACTACTAGGTGTAAAAAATGGCACAGCAACTTTGGAAAACAATTTGACATTACCAAAACCAAACCAAACTCATTGTCATTAAGTCAATCCTGACTTACTGTGAACCTACAAGACAGAGTAGAACTGCCCCATAGGGTTTCCAAGGCTGTAAATCTTTACAGAAGAAGACTGCCTCATCTTTCTCCTACAGAGCAGTTGGTGGGTTCAGTGTGAACCACTGACATTTGTGGTTAACAGCCAAATGCTTTAATCACTGAACCATCAGAGCTCCTAATTTGGTATTACCCAATAAAATTTTACATGTGCATATCCTTTCATCTAGAAGCAGCACTTCTTTAAGACTATAAGAATGTTCATAGCAACATTATGTCCATCAACCGTAGAATGGATGAAGAACTTGGTCTTCCACTGCAGGAATATATCACAACAGCAATGAAAAGCAACCAACTACAGCACACGCATTAACATGGATTCATCTCACAAATAAAACCCAACAAAAAGAAAGTACAAATTCAGTTGCTTATGTACAAGCAAAATCCTCATGGGATTTGGTTGCCTGATTTGGAGGTTGAGGGTCATGGTTTCATGGGACATTCTGATTAAATGTGAACCTTTAGTGCTTCTCCTAGTTCACTGCTTAGTGTCTGGGGTCTTAAAAGCTTGCAAGCGGCCATCTAGATGCAATGATGGCTCTCTCCTCATGCAGAGCAAATAAGAATGAAGAAAACCAAAAACACATGGAAACAGTCCAAGCAACTGGTACACCATGCAATCCTCAGCCTATATGACTATGAGACCAGAAGAAGTAGATGGTGCCCAGCTATCACTGTCAACCACTCAAAGGGGTATCTATGTAGGAGCTCCTGGACAGAACGGGAGAACAATGTGGAACAAAACTCAAAATCATTTAAAAAAAAAAAAAAA